ATAATAGTATCCAAAACGAATGTGCTGTTGCTTTGGACTTGCGCATAATTATTGTAACCATCGGAAAATGCTAGTGCTCGGAAGCTTCTGTAAAGTGGCCAAGATCCAGAGGACTAAATGGGAATCCTCTGTCTGAGTAAGAAGCGGAGTGAACCAGATCTTCTTTCTGATTTGTTTAACTGTTGTTTTTCTACGTTGATAGGGTGAACAAATAATTGCATGGCTTCCGACCCTGCCCTTAACTCACCTAAGGGTGTTTGAACGATCCAGTCCTCAGTTTTTCACTGACCCTTTTTTTCGTCTTTTCAGAACTGGTTTCAAAAAAGTCCGCTCTACAACTGTCCGGTTTAACCGTCGTGCCGGCGCTCACATTTGTTACCACGCACTGTTTCGCATTAATCATGGTTTTGTCGTATGTATCCTATAATTGCGTATAGAGCCCTATAATTTGGGACGACAATCAAATAGCAACCCCACCCAAAAAACAGCTTAGCACCTCGTGAACATGAGTCCTATTTTTGTGTTGCCTGGAATAAATTCTTTCTAGGATATCCACAGAGGTAGCACCGAACATTGCTTCCCTTCTCCCTATGAAGAAGGGCACTTTTTCTGGCTGAGCATCGAGAAAGCATGTAGGGCTAAGAGCTACACCCTCGAGGTGACATTCAGGTCAAGTTAGCTTGTTAGCAACATCCAGCAGTAACTCCACCTTAGAAAATCTTCATGTCCAGTACATTTGTCTTCGGGATGCACTGTTCCATTTATGTAGACCATACAGTCCTAAATGAACAAAACGATTTTGACAACGCATATTATATATTTTTTGCTACAACGAAGCACTGTTGGAACCCTAGAACTCACAGTTCTTGAAATTAGCTTCTCTTGTATGCAGACGTAATCGACGTCAAAATCTCTCATTTTTAGAAGTTTGCAGGTAGAAGTGAATTGTTGGTCGAAGAATTCAAGCAGCTAAATACCATATGAATATTAACAAGAATTCTCAATTACCGTTGAATTTTGTTATTTTCTCATTCCGGAAAGGAACCGCTAAGTGGTCCACGCCAGCACTTTTGATCCCAGTCAACTAAACTTGGTCGTATGCAAAGCAACTAACATTAATTACACGGTACGAATTACATTCTGGAAGTTTTACGGACAACAGTTTCCAGAATTTTAGAGCTGTTAGAGTCGTGATGTCGTCAGTGTATTGGTTTCGATAAAGCAGCGGAGGGGCGGGGGAATGAAAGGGAATCAGAAAAAAGAGTGATACAGTTACAGCTTGTCCACTCAACACGCGAACGTGGATGGATATTAGTTCGTGGATGCGGCTTCTCGCAAAGTATAAAATGCCCCGCGCGCGACGCTGGCTTCCGCAAACCTTCCTTTCGCCACGCTACGAGTAAGGTAGACCAAATAAACTCTGCATGGCGATAGGAGAGTGAGGGTTTTTTCTCTAGCACTTCCAAGATATGGGCGGAAGTGGTGTAGTGGCAAGTGGCACGCTTACCACGCGAGCGGTCCGGGGATCAAATCTGGGTCGTGAGTCGCCCGGGCCAACCAAGCCTTCCATCCCTCGGTTAATTGGTACCAGACTTGTCTGGGAGGATAAAAACACTGACTTGTACATCGGCTGGCCCCCGCAAGTCATTGTATAGGCCACATCGCATTCAAACGCCACTACGAATGTACAAATGGAAGTAGAATGCGTGCCGCATCCCAAAAAGGGATTGATCAACGGCAAATGCTTTATCCTTTTCTTTATTCCAAGATGCTCAAGGAGAAGCGAGCTAAACTTCCTGTGGTCACTTAAGCTTTTCGACGAAAACATACCGGATGTCGGCAGAGATTTTCCACTCCGTCCATGCATTTCTTTGCATCCCCAAAGTCATCGCAGAGCTCGACCAAGGTATCAATGGAAACATTGTAGAGTGGAAATCGTACAGAAGCAGATTCCGGTGATTCCCCCGCGATCGCAGACAACTTCCTAAAAGGGAAATAGCTGGAAATAGGAAAAAATTAGTGTGTATGAAAAGGTGAACGTACGCCATGAGACTTTTGTGGCAACGAGAAATGGTGGGATGGTCACGGTATGGTATGCAGTACGGAGGATGTGTGGTGGTGGTTATGATAAACTCGGTTGTCTCCGGCTCCGGTTCTTGCGTCGTTAGCTCCAAATCTTCACCTTCTTCCAAACCACTCACAGTACTGCCCGTGGAAGAAGACGAGTTTTGATTGAGCTCTTTGATAGAGACTTCCGTGGTGATCTCCTCCGTTCTCATTGAAGGAAACTTGTGCTTTTCCAGAGATGAAGAAGATTCGGTAGTCACTTAAAGTAGTTATTTCGTGGATATCTGGTGAAATCAGGTTTTCTATAGCTTCACCGTTCCCGGAGGCGCCCAGACATGTAAGTTGAACGTTATGACGAAGAAGGCTAACTAATCCGCGCAGATTCCCCTAAAGCGCTGACTGAACGCCTTCACTCTTGCTAACTTTGTCACGTGCCTAATCGTGGAACTAGTGAAGTATTTCACAGCTCCCAGAAACACTTCATTCAGGCAAGGATTCGGCTTAATAGCAGTGAATCCCTTTATTTTTGATACCATAGTCAGCACACGTACCTTCGGGGAAGAAAGGCGTCGTAGTGTTAGTGCTAGGTGGTTCCTCCTCTTTCGATACTAAAACATGGAGTAGTTCACATTATTAGAACGAAGAACAGGGCACAACCACAGCTCTAAACTTACCTGCGCTTCTCTTATTAGTGTCCTTATCGAATGCTATTTCGGGCATTTTCGGATAATCTGCAATCAGTACTGTAAGTATGGTAATGTTTGAAGCCAAGGTCAAACCTTCGTATCGCAATATTTGAAAGAGGATTGCTTTTGTTGAGTTGGGGGGGGGGGGGGAGCTCGCATTTTGCGTTGAGCAAGGTTAACTACCTCTGAAAAGGGGATCGTATTTTGGAAAAGTCAAGGAATTGTGGTCATAGAAGAGGGGGTTGATTTTGATGGGCTTTCGATGACTTTGGTAAAAAAAATTAGAGGACTTGCCGCTTCATTTTCGGACATAATCTGCAATCAGTACTGTAAGTAGGTAATGTTGAAGATAGGTCAACCTTCTTTTTGCAATATTTGAAGGGAGGGCTTGCGTTATGATTAGGGGGGGGGAGCTCGCATCTGCATTGAGCAAGGTTAACTACCTCTGGAAAAGGGATCGTATTTTGGAAAAAGTAAAGGAATCGTGGTTATAGAAGAGGCGGTTGTTTTTGATGGGCTTTCGATGACTTTGGTAAAAAAAATTAGAGGACTTGCCGCTTCATGATCTACATATTCCCCCCCCCCCCGCCGACGGCCGTTCCGCACAGAAAGGTGGGATAGTAGTGGAGTTGGTTGGGATGATTGGTCCAAAATCAAATGATCTGTACTGAAAAAAAGCCTGATGCGAGGACGACGGGTAGAAGACGGGTGGGAGCAGGGTCAACCCTACGTTGTTACGAGTAACAACGGGGGGGTCGTACTCAGTTGAGCTTGGAGGGAGGGGGGTCGTACCCTCTCGGTGGCCGACAGTGGGATTCTTGGTAATATCGGATAATAGCCAGCACGTTACGTTTTCGTAAGATGACTGATACAGCATCTATAAACCACGATTCCCTCTAAATGAGCTTTCAAATGAATCAGCGAATTAGAAGGGCGCCCGAGGCGTGGCGCGCACCAAGGCAAGGGATGTAGTGCAAGCGCATGCTCGGAGCTTTCTAGCACATCCTAATTAAACATAAAATTGGTCTTCCAAGAAGTTACGGGCAGTGAAACCTAAGAAAACTCGCGTTTTCGAGAAAATGGCTTGAAGAATACCCCTCAAAATAAAAAGTAACAACGGGCTAATTTTTGAACTGCTGATCTTTCAGAAACGCTTGGGTGCTCGTTAGAAAGCTTGAAACCTGTGGTTTATTACACCGTGTTCAGCTTCCCAAATGAATGACTTTGAAGGAAGTTATGATCGTTTGAAGGTCAAAAAAGTCGCGGTTCCAAAAAAATAGTAACGCAAACCCCCAAAAAAGTAACAACGGGACTAATTTTTGAACTACTGATCTTTCAGGAACGCTTGGGTGCTCCTTAGAAAGCTTGAATCCTGTAGTTTATTATACGTGTTCAGCTTCCCAAATGAGTGACTTTGAAAGAAGTTATGATCATTTGAAGGTCAAAAAGTCGCTTTGCACAGAAAAAAGTAACAACGTACTAAATTTTTATTAAATTAACTTTCGAAGAATTTTTACCTATGGTTGGAGAGAGAATAATTTGAATTTTCCAAATCAAATCACTTCGGCGCTGAAGCTCGAATATGAAGGAAGTTATAGCCTTAGAAAGAGGGGTGTAAAAATTGTGTTGCAATTGAAGAACGTGAAGGATTTCAGTATTTCAATTGGAGCGATAATTTTTTCTGACTTCTCATAAGTTTTTATCAGGTAATATTGTCAATATTACGGTCACTGGTTCAGTTTATTTCATCTCCTAGTTTGGTAACCCTTTGGAGTACACGGATATCTTTGAATGGGGGGGGTCGTATCAAACACCCTGAAGGCGGGTTCGTAAAAAATTTTCCGAAAGTAAACAACGGTGGGGTGTCTCATGTGGGGAGCCTCCTCAGAGTAATGGTGGTGGTGAGGGGTCGCATTGAGAACCTCTTGAAGGGTGGTGGTCGAGAAAATTTTGAAAAAGTTGTACGCGACGGCTGGTCCTAAGTCGAAGCACAGGGTCAAAATTTTAGTCATAACAACTCGAAACCACGGAGCGTACCATCGATATCACGGGCAGGTTTCAGTGCAGTCAAATCCACATCTAGCTCCATTTTCTGCGCTCCCTTGAAATAATCTGAAACAAGCAGCAGCATTTGATGGCATGACAGACAGTAGCATGAATCATGAAGTTTTTTTCAAAGAAAAGTGTGAACAACACGAATTTGTAGGTGATACACCATGTAGTTTTCGGAGCTGCGAAATCTCACCTAAAGGAGAACCCTTCACAATTTAGGAGTAGCGAAAATAGCACAGGCCATGCCGCGAATGTGCCATTTCATAACCTAGCTTTTCAATGAAGATTGCCTGATATCACGACCGCCAACCTCCTGCTACTTGATATCACGCTTGCACATTTTCATCTGATTCATAATTACCATCCATAGAGATCTATGTCGTTAAGAATCCCACATCCAAACTTTACCAAAGGAGAATCATAAGGTTGAGATGGGCCCTGGAAAATTTAAGGAGCATGTTTCTCGACGCTTACCTCTTCTGTGCTGATCAGTGAGGAGTCCCGTCGAGTTGGTCTGCAGTAAGATACTTTCACTCTCGGATGTACCTGTAGAACAATTCGTTTTTTTTTTCTTTACTACCGTAATTAGCATGAAAAAGTGGCTCAAAGACGGTCAGTTCGTCTGATAAAACTGCACGAACCTCGGCTATGAACAGTATGTTCTCCTTACCGTTGAGGCAGCCAAGCTCTTCAACCGATTTTCCTCAGAAGTGTCGCTGCCGTTTTACCGCAGTGGTCAGTAATATCGCTATTGACACAGTCGAAGAAGCTGCTCATCCCCCTGCATTTCCCTGAAAATTACTTGTTTGTGCTAAGTGCCACTGGAGTTTATGTACAAGTCATTAGACACGCCTAAAATAGGTGCACTTGATTCTGAATAAGCGCGCTATCGCCTTTGCAGGAATGCGCAGGTCCTTTATCTTTGCTGCTCGCCTGCTCTAGCCCGCTTTTGGCTCGAAAGCGGTTTTTCACGCGTAAAAAAGGTTGAAGAAGAACCAGGAGTTGCCCTGAGTACTGGTACCATTTTGTTCGAACGTATCTATGAATTTTCAGGTAAACAGTGTTTGTAAAGAGAGGGATATTTCTGCGACTCAAGTGGACAACCATAGAAGCCGCTGATCGCGATGCACTGCATTTTTGATAACGCACTAACTTCGTATTGGTGGAAGGACACAAAGAGGCAACCGCAAAGCCAAATCGCACAGGGATCTACATATTGCGTGCACCATCAAAACCGCAGCGCCAACTGACATCAAGCTCACTGGTTTTAAAATACCATAGCAACTGATCCTCCCATGACGTCAGACTGACCGTGGGGAATCATAGAAAGCATCACAGCGCCAAATTTCTCGGCCTTCTAATAGCTAGTGTCATAAAATCTCGATAAAAGGTCAATAGAAAATGAAATGGGATTTTTTCTCCAGCGGTCACTCGGAAGTTGCGCACCACTGTGAAGTGAAAGTCGGTCATGCACGCGTGAACCACGAAACGTGCAACAGCGGGGAAGGGGTTGGAGGTTAAAAAAAACTCGTCGCACCCCTGCCCCCTGGAATTCTTGCGCGAATCGCTTAGTTTCACAACGGTGGCCTGTTTCGCTTTCTTTGAGAGGAAACGAAAAGGATAAGGATAAAAGGATAAAGCATTTGCCGTTGATCAATCCCTTTTTGGGATGCGGCACGCATTCTACTTCCATTTGTACATTCGTAGTGGCGTTTGAATGCGATGTGGCCTATACAATGACTTGCGGGGGCCAGCCGATGTACAAGTCAGTGTTTTTATCCTCCCAGACAAGTCTGGTACCAATTAACCGACCCCGGAGGGATGGAAGGCTTGGTTGGCCCGGGCGACTCACGACCCAGGATTTGATCCCCGGACCGCTCGCGTGGTGAGCGCGCCACTTGTCACTACACCACTTCCGCCCTAAGAAAGCGATACTATGAAAAAGCAACAATTCATTGAAGCTCCTGAACTGTGCTGGTTGAGATAGCTGGGAACACTTTAGTTCGGCTAGCACATTCGAACCATGCCTTCGTTGGCTTTGTACTCTCGCATTTTTTTCATGACGAATGCAGAACTTCCCATTTACTGCAGTGATTTCAGCCCCTGATTGGACATTTGTCTGATGTCTGTTTAGCCTTTATTAGCAAAACAGTTCATAGTGCCCATGATTTGAGCCAGAGACCGTATTTCGTGAGCAGAAGTCCTACGATTACATCACCAGTCCACCCTTTCTATTTCACCTTATCGTATATTTTAATGATTTTGAGCGTTTCTGAGACCACATTCATAACCACTTTCAAATAATTATCCACAAAAGTTTCCGACGCATTGTCGTAATTTTTTACGGGATAGCGCGGGAGTATAAAAATGGATTTCCTTGAAGGTGATTTTGCGATGAAAAGCACTTAATTGGAAATTTAGTTGACATGATCAGTGTTGCATAAAATAAATACACGAAAACGGACTAGAATCCGAAAAAGGACCTTCCCCGTCTGACTCCGCATGATGCGACTCTCGTCGATGCTTCCCTCTTCAACGCTAACGCTATCTCCGCTAGAGGCCAGACAGAGCGAGGGCGCGAGGGCGGTAATGATAGATGGCCTGGGCATTGAAGCATAAGGTTAAGTTTGGTTCGGACTTAGGTTAAGGCTTATGCTTACACATTGGCTTATGCCTAAGCCTATGATTGGGCCTAGGCTTAGTCCTAAGCTTGCTCCGAGCGAATGAACGGCGTCTCAATTTTAGGTGACCTGACCCCAGGAGGAGAAACGCTACGCACCCGGGCAATCCTTCCATGCGAACTGCGTGCTGTCCACTATGTAGGTACCCTCCCTTTCAAAAAACGAGAAGAGTGTCGGGTGCAGACCATACACCACAAGTGACGACGGCCTCCAAGTAAATCTGGTTAGTAGTGGTTCATAGTGATAGCTGATTTTTGGTAAATGATAGTTGTAATTAGTGACAACTGATAGAATACAACTGCAACAGGCTAATCATTTCATTGGCAGAAAACATTTACATTTTGTGGAAGGCCGTCGTCACTTGTGGTGTATGGTCTGCACCCGATGCTCTTTCTTTTTTTAAGGGAGAGTAGAATTTCCTTCCTCCGACATTCTTCCTTATCGAGACCACTTCAAATGTAGGATCAATACTTCGGTCAAGGAAACAATTGATTATATATTTATAACATGCTAACTTCCAGCACTTCCAACAGCGGGCGAAGAATAGGCTTCTGCAAAAACACCTTGTCGACCGACATTGTATGCTACAAGCGCGAAATAGGATCTCGCGATCGAAAAAAGAGCTAAATGGCACGCGGCCGTCAAGCTCTTGCGCATGTCTTCATAGCTATGCACTAAAAACTGAACGATCTGAAACGAACGGAGATACAAAATGCACATTACCTGAACTTTGAATAGGATTGGGAACACCGAAGATGTGGCTCCTACATTGACGCGACTTCGACAGGGACTGCGATATACACGAATAGTTATCTGAAATTCACTTTCGTCATAAAGTGGCACTATTCATAGTGTCTTCAGGTAACAAACTGAGGACGGATTAGGCTTCGTTATATCTACCAGAAATAGCCGCATTTTAGTCTGTGTATGAGGTGAGCCACGCTTCTTACTTCCATTTGTAAGTGATTTTACGTATACAACGGAAGACCTAGTCCAACTTTTTGTGAACCAGGCAGGCAGTACGAAAGGAACGCCACCGATGATGGAACGTTGGTTGGCATGGGTTCGGATCCGATCGGGATTTAATTTTAGAACATGAGTGTAGTTAGCTCCTCCTCCAGGACTACCTCCACCTTCATCCAGTTATAATCTTATTCATATTTCATATGAGGTATGTTGATAGAATCATAGTATGGATAGCTAGGTTGAAGCCAGGAGTGATTGCAAAAAGCGAGGTGTTAATTGTAAGATTCACCACTCCAGTGATAGAAGGTTGAGTCCGCACTATGCGTTACGGTAAGTGGAGTGGACTAACGAGCAAGTTCTTTCATTAAACACAATATCGACTCCTCTTTAATGAATATTTGATTTGACTGCTTTCCATTGAACATTTCGAAATTGCAGTAGAGACAGCAAGTGAGCTCACCGAGAAAGGCAGGGCCGTACTTGCCGCAGAAGAACTTCAAATGACTTTCAACAAAAATCATTAGAGGGTTGGCTCCACATCTAAATTTCGAACACCATATGCAGTGGCACCACAATTGAAAAAGTTGTGTCGTATGCGGGCTTACTCCGACTGCTGAGAGGGGTGTCTTTAGGAGCAAACCCCGAATGTCCAGTTAGAAGCTTATCTGTACGGCACAGAGAGCGAGTGCGCATGGACTTCCTGGTGTAAGAACCGTATTCGAACAGTTTTGCAGCCCTAGGGCACGGTCAGATTGCGTTTGAAAAGTCTCTCAATTGTTTACGGGCGGAAAAGCGAAGAGATTTCTGGAAATCGTATTCCGTTTCGCTAATCGTCTCCCATACGGTCAGTAGAGACGAAAGGACAAACTCGCCGATAACTGCTTTGGCTGGCAGCACATTCCAAGCTATGAAACCAAATGCAAGGTGCCACATAAGCATTATTATCTTCACCAAATAAAAGCATGGCTGAATGGGCATTTTTTCCGAAGAGTAGTTCATATTGAGTGAGTAATCAATACTTACATTCGGCATTGGCTTGACACAGAACAAGTAGAAGTATCCAAATAGCTCTCATAATAGGATCGTCGTAAATGCGCTAGAATCGTTGAAATGGCTCGGGCGAATCCGAGCTTCGGACACGCCCATCTCCGCCACGAGAACAGATTTACAGGATGTCAGCGCATAGTGAAAACGGCTGCTTCACTTGACAGATACATATGCTTTCACCCGCGTCTTCTGTGCATTTGAGAGAAAGTACTGAGAAGAATAGAAAATCTCCAAGGAACGCGCGAAGCGTTGATCAACCCTTTCTGGAATGAGCTCCACATACGACATCCATGCAGTATCGTAGAGGCTTTTCTTGCCAGGAAAGGTCATAGGCCAATCCCGG